TATGCAATATCTTATTCCTTTCAACTGACCTCATACTTCTTCTCTTCCCCCACGGAACCAGGCCTGAAGATCGCATCAGCTAGGGTCTCCCCTGTTAACTTAAGCTACTGTGATTGGATTTATACGGCAGTAAGGGAAAACATGAATAGCCCACAATTCGGTTGAGGAAAAAGGTTTAGTCTAGGGTGAAGTTTAGGATTAGGGTTAAAGTTAGTGTCAGGGTTAGGTTTAAAGTTAAGTTCAGGGTGAAGGTTTGGGTTAGTGATATCTGAAGGGTCAAAGTAGAGCCAATACAAAGGGTAGGGTTAAGGTTTATTTTGGAACAAGTGTTAGAGTTATTTGCTTCGTCAGTAGTTGTGCGCAAGACTACCGCTTGCTGAACAGCCTTTTTAAGTCAAAAATGGGAATATCCGCAGAAAAAAGGTTTTTTTAAATTGTATCGCTCTTTGTCCGTATGTCGACATGCACACCTTACTCAGCATTTCGTCCATATGACATGCACCATGTTCCCGAAGCATAGAATCCGCAGGAGCTATGACTTCCCCATGGAGCAGTCTGTGGTGTAAGAAGACTTGCGCTGCGTTTGACCGCAGTCCCTCCTCCCTCCCCATATCAGACCGAGGTCAGGACGACCGGAGCCGGGATGGGGCTTATTGTAATTATGAGAATGTATGCGTCTTACATGCCCACCGGTGAAGTGGCTCATTCTGTAGGCTGCCCTCGTTAGTCCTGTCAAAAAATATCGACTAAGTTGTACCGGGAATACCTCTAATTTTCCGATATGCTATCTGAGCTTCACATATTCCCCACCGCAGAGCTCGTAAGTGGCATATATGTTAAAGCATTCAGGTTCAAGTTATGACTTTTATATTTTCTTTGGAGCGGCTGGTCGCTGGGCATTCTGCCCGAAACTGAAAAGTCCTTTTGTCTATTAAAATAGACAGCGTATCATGAATTTGAACAGTGTCATCATAGTAAACAATTCATAGCACGTATTCGATTTGTTCAAACAATCCTCCTAGTTTGGTGCTCCGACGAGCATTTCGTCAGTGTATGCACCTTGAACGAGTTAGCCTCCAAATGAGGAGTTATAAAGTGTCAAAATTCCGTTGAAGATAACTCATATTGCCCCCCTAAATAAGACACGGGAATATGTAATGCCCCGCCAAAGTAATAAAGGTGGCCACGCGCATAATTTCCACAAGAGGAAACAGGCGGGGGGTTGCAGGTGCCCCATAAATGCCTCGGGC